TCCAAATTACATTTTTATATGGTTTCAGAAGCATCTGAACGTGGCCTGCAAGCAGCATTTTTACATTTCTGGAATATATGGTCTCTAAATTTCCTTATAGCTCTAAATTTGTGAGGCAGCCAGATGGCTCATGGATGGAGAACTGCCTGGAGTCAAGAAGACCTGAGTTCAAATGTGACCTCAGGTGTACTAGTTGAGTGACCCCGGGCAAGTCACTTAACCCTATTTACCTCAGTTTCCTTATCCTAAAAGGAGATAATAATAGCACCTATCACCCAGGATTATTGTGAGGATAAAATAAAGACAATATTTCTAAAGAACTTGGCTTTTGCATGGAAGGCACTAAGTCCTTCAAACAATTCCTTTCTTTGTTTTAGAAAAGCAAAATTCTGGGGCAGCTAGGTGGTACAGTGGATAGAGCACCGGCCCTGAAGTCAGGAGGACCTGAGTTCAAATCTGACCTCAGACCAAATACTTGACATTCACTAGCTGTGTGACCCTGGGCGAGTCACTTAACCCCAACTGCCTAAAAAAAAAAAATTTTTAAAAAAAAAGCAAAATTGTCTACACTCCTTTATTCCAATTCCCTCCCACTTACATTATTTTTTTGCCCAAAAAGTGACATTTATTCAAAGTAAAAAAAAAAATAGGGAGAGGGAGGAGATGACAAAGGTGCCCACCCATTTTTGCCCTCCTCTCCTTCCAGTTCCCCCTCCTCTCACCATCCCAGGCAGGTTGTTGTTGTGCAACTCTTCATGACTCAGTTTGGGGTTTTCTTGGCAAAGATACTGGAGTGGTTTGCCATTTCCTTCTCCAGATTGGATTGCTGAGGATTAAGATGAGGATTACAGATGAGGATTAAGTGACTTGCCTAGGGTCATACAGTTAGTAAGTGTCTGAGGCTGGATTTAAATTCATCCTTTATTCAATAAATAAAGATTAGTCTTTCTGACTCCAGGTCCATCCACTATACCACCTAGCTTCCCAAGGAGAGCAGAGCTCTGGGTAAAATCAGGTGAGCAAGCTCCTTAAATGAGGTCAGCCACATTGAGAGGCATCTTTTCAATGGAGGCATTCTAGAAGGTCTCATCATTTGGGAGGGTCTTCATGTCCTCTTCTGTCACTATACTGATAGCCACACTCTTAAAACCAAAGCACCCCCATGGCCAATTCTCTGAATATAATTCTCCTAGTTGATGGTAATATCTCATTAATAACCAAAGATGCTTGTCACACATCAGTGCCTCTGAACAGTAGGTCAATGGTAATAAGCATCCAGTTGGCGCTTCCCCCATGGTTACATCATGTTCCTTATGGTCAATATCTCTACACATTGCATAGCCAGCAAGATGGATATGAATTCTCTTGGTCAGCCAATCCACTGATTGAGGAAGAGAATAGCTTAGATAATAGCATTTCATCCACATTTATGTAAAACTGACAAGATCCTTTCAATGTCAGCTCCTCCTTCTTGACTAGATTCCTGATAGCCTTCCTCATAAAATTCTGGGTCACTTCCAGCTCATCTGAGGGCATGGTGGCCAACAGGAGAACTACCTGAGTATTGCCCACTGAGTTGCTGGAATATTTCATAGATCTGGTCCTTATAACTATGGTTTAACTTTTCTTCAGCTTCATCCAGGACTAACATCTTGATATATTTAGGAGATGTTATTGTTTGTCCTTCATTTTCAAAGACCAATGACGTCACAGGGTTATGTCTTGATTCCTGCATAAATTGGATTTAATGAGGCAGAGTTGCACAAAGTTGTCAACCTCACTCTCTCTTCCAGAATCATCAAGTCCAGCGGCAAGACAAAAGTCAGTATGACTGGCAATGGCCCAGGCTGCAGTGGCTGACCTTGGCATCTTCAGTGTCTGACCAAGCTCTAAGTGCTCCACAGTACCTGCTTCAAGGCCACTGAAACAAATTGTTCTCATCTGCCCATTCCACCAGGGGAAATCTTCACATGCTTGGGATAGACACTCTGCTAATTCACCAATGGGTTTGTGGCCCAACAGTTACCCTCAACTTAGTGTTGCCTGTCTGCCAGGATGGTTTACTGGGGTGTGGCCACTGTGCATGCTACAGCTTCTTAGAGCCACAGGTGAGAGTGAAGTGCCAAGTGGACATCAAAGGTGAATGAACAGCCCTTTGCTAGTCCTCCTTGAACATCCATACACCCCATTCAGGGGCCACTGAGGTGGCACAGTGGATAGAGCACCGGGCCTGGAGTCAGGAAGCCCTGAGTTCAAATCCAGTCTTAGACACACATTAGCTGTGTGAACCTGGGCAAATTACTTAACCCTATTTGCCTCTATTTAGGAGATAGGATCACTGGTTAAAGACATGGTCTTGGGGTGCCCATAATGACATGGGGAGCTTCCATCTGCAACTTCTGAACATCTGTCTGAACATTTATTTGTTCCTCCAAAGCAAGCATGGCATAAGGTACCCATGGAGTCTCGCCATGCCATCACTCCTGTTTTGGGGTCTTTGTGGACCTTTAAGTCCAGTTCAATCTGTTGCAAAATAGAAATGGCAAAGGTTATCCATCAAGCCTGGTTCCAGTGTGGGCTTGAGCAATCACCTTATAACCCTTGGTATAAGGAAGCATTGCATGTTGCTGCGTGGCAGGTGGCTTCCCCAAACCATATATACCACAAAGGAGAGATTCTGAAACAGTTCCTATCATGTCATCAAAGATATCCACAATCCACAATCCATAAATTACTCTTGATGGTACCATAAGGGTCCATTCTACCAGGGCCATCAATTTCCCAACATGATACTGGGAACTAGGGTCTCTCCACTCGCTTCTCAAACCCTTATAATCTGGCTTCTGTTCACTCCAATAGGATTGAAACTGCTCTTTCCAAGGTTACCAACATTATTTTTTATTTATTATTATATTATATTATATTTCATTGTATTGTATTGTATCATATCGTATCATATCATGTTATATTATATTATATTGTATCGCATCATATCGTTATCGTATCACATCGCATCATATCACACCGTATCGCATCATATTATATTATATTATATCGTATTATATTACATTACATTATATTACATTATACTATTTATTATTATTATTAAAATCAATTTCTTTGTTCTCATTCTATTTGCTCTCTCTTCAGGTTTTGACACATAGCTCCTCTCTCATTCCCTAGATTTCGCTCCTCTACTCAATAAACCTCATGGTTCCCTTTTACCTAATATCAAATAGAAACTCTTCAGCTTGGCCTTCAAAGCTCTTTCCTTCCTTATCTTACCTTTCTAATAGTCTTACCTATTACTTTTCTCAACTCTTTCTACCTGAATTCCCCAGGCTATGTATACCTACTTGCAGTTTCTTACACACAACCACTTCCTATACTGGTGGCTGGTGACTACGATTAGCTGGCCTTAGTTTGCTGACCCTCACCCTAAAAGAATGCCCATTATAACATACCTGACAAGACGGCATTCAGCCTCTGCTTAGAGAACCACTGCCTCCTGCAGACAGCTTCAATTTTTAGGAAACTTTTCCTTACATCAAGCCTAAATATGCCCCTTTGCAACTTCCACCAATCGCTCTGGGTTCTGCCCTCTGGAATCAAATGGAAGATGTGAAGGAAAAGCATTCCAGACTGGCAGGCCAGGGAGTGCAAAGGGACAAAGATGAAAGCTGGATCATTGTGTGCAATTTTTTATTTAAAAATGTAAGAACTATTCTTAATTCACAGCTATACACAAACAGGTCACAGGCAGAATTTGGCCTGCGAGGGGTAGTGTGCTGACCCCTGCTTTAGGGTGTAAGTTGGACTATTAGTTGACTGCTTAGATCCCTTCTGTGCCTAACTTGTGAGTAGGATAGGGATCTCTCTCTCTCTCTCTGTGTCTCTCTCCATCCCTCCCTGTCTCCTTCCTCACCTCCCTCTCCTCCCCTTTTCTCTCTCTCTCTCTCTCTCTCTCTCTCTCTCTCTCTCTCTCTCTC